CGCCCCCCCCCCCCCCGCTTACCCAATAAAGCAGCAGAGGAAGCCAAGGAGAAAGTTCATGAGGCCGATTTCATGAGTGATTTTGGTGGTGATGGCCTGCTGGCAGTGCGGGCACACTGTTGGGACAGGGGCAGCCTGGAATATCTCGCTCTGCAGGACCGTCACAGTGGTTGCGGTGCCCAATGGCACTAGCACGGTTGCCGTTTGCCCTCCAGCAGGGGCATAGGGGCCAGTGGGAGGGTGGTAGCCCGTGGAGGCGTGTGGCCCCAGAGGCGCACAGTAGCCACCTACAGAGGAGGAAGGGACTTGTTTAAGGCCCAGACAGCTCCAAGGGAGACTCCTTGCCTGGCCACTGCCAACCTAACATGCCAGGGCACAGAGACTAGAAATCAGCCTGTCCCAATTCCTCATTCCTGGCTGCACTCGGAGCTTCCAAAGCAGAGCAACTGCTCAGTGGACCACAGCCTGACCAGCTGCCGCAAGGGGTTTCACGGCCTTGTGACCAAAGGCCACTTGAGGGCAGGACAGAACCGACACCCCAAGTAGAGAATCACCTGCTATTCCACTCAGAGCAGCCCCTCACCTTATTTCCATTCTCTGGAGCTTCAAAAGTCTAGTTTAACTATTTCTTGCTCTGCCTCATATTGCTTGGATTGGAGATTTATATGCTGCTTTGATGTTGCTCGGCAAGATAAGATCCTGTTACGACAACAGGACATTCTCTTCTGCCACGCTTGGCTTATGTGCCACTCCAGCCATCACTGAGCAGCTTTTAGGCTGGCACATACTCCCCCCCCCCCCGGGGGGGGAAAAAAACCCCCCCCCCCCCCGGCCTCCCATGCCACTCACCAGGGGGGAAGTAGGGCATCGAGCTCTCTGCTGCAGGGGGAGGGATGAAGCCCGGCTGAGCGGGAGGCATTGCTTCATAGGGCGGGGGGCCAACATCGGAAGGGGGCTGCACCATGGCTGGAGGGCTCCTACCTGAGAAGATTTGGAAGAACGAGGTGTCACATGGAGAGAACGATGACCAGGTGGGTAATGGGTCACCAACAGAACCTTACCTGCGGGGAAGGGAAACCCATCCTTCTCTTCCAGGAGGGGTGCTGATGGCCCCCCAGGGTAGGGTGGAGGAGGGTCGCTGGACATGCTGAAAGAAAGATGCAGAGTTGCTGAGATGGTCGGAGGGCCGGCTAGGAAAGGTAAGAGAAAAAGAGCTCAGAGCCAAGGGGAAAGTGGGGGGGGGCTTTTCTCATGGGATTCTTGGCACAAAACCCCCCACAATGCCCTGCTGGTGCCTCCAGGGGAGAGGACCAATCAAGGCTTTCCTCCTGCCCGTCTGCTGGCCTAGCCTGAAGGGGAGAGAGAGAGAGAGCGACCACAGCAGTCAGACGGGGTGCTTGGCTCAGCTCTCCAGAAGAAAAGGACCTTGTTGAGGGATGCCCCGTCTTTCCCAGAGGCCTCCTCTCCTTCCAGGGTGTCTCTGCTAGCAGCTGAGCATCAGGGAGAGGCTGCTGGGGGAGACGGACTCCTGGCTATTCTGTGAATTCATCCCGCTGCAGCCGGAGATCCTCTGGACACACAGTCCCTGCAGGGGGAGTCAGACGCCAGTCACCTCCTTGACGGGAGGGGGGGGGAGGGCATCAGCCAGGACCACAAGGAAACGTTTTGAGTCTGACCGTTTGGGGGACACAAGAAGATCTTGTCCGACTGCGGGTGGGGCACACCTGTGGTCTCTCCTTAGGGCAGCTCTTCAAAGGTGTCAGGCTTTGTGGCCAGACAAGACCCCATCTGGACCGGAAGGGGACACGCTGGGCTGGTGCACGGAAAGGGAAAGGGAAAGGGAGCGAGAGCTGCCTTGGGGAAGTTTCTCCCTGTGCAGATGACTTTAGACATCAGCTTCCAGCCCTGCCTGGGCACAGACCCTGGGCCCGCCAAGGGGCAGCTCCTGCCCTGCTGTAAGCACCATGCGGCTCCCAAGATTCCAGCAAGCTCACCGCAGACAAGTAAATCAGGCAAACGAAAACGCAGTTACAGCAATAACAAACATTCCTCTCCAGCCAAAACAACAGCAACAAATCCACCCAAACCAGCAGCTCAAAGTCACACTAACATCTCCACTAACTGCATTGAGGTTGGCAGCCCAGATGCGCCTTCCGTGCAATCGACCCAGCGGCCCCGTGGGAGGCAACAGCCGGGGGTTCATCGCCCAAGGGAGTCCTCGGAAAGGACCGGCCTCCCTCTCGCAGGCCTGGCCCCGCGCCCCGATCGCTCGGGAATCCCGCGGGACGAAGAGCGGGCCGCTGGCGGGGGGCCTGGACCGGTTGGACAGGCAGGCGGCGGCTGGCGCGGCTCCCGTCCCCTGGCAGACCTGACCCCTCCCCACCCCCCGGCCCAGCCAACGCCCGGGAGCCCAGGGGGGAAGCGGGCAACCCTCCCTCGCCCAGCACCGCCCCAGCGGAGGCCCGGCAGCCTCCTTGGGAAGAGCGACCCGAGGGGGCCGCAACCGCCCGGCTGCAGATTGCGGGAGGGCCGCTCCTGCCCCCCCTCGCCCGCCCAGGGGCTTCCCAGCCCCGCAGCCCTCGCGGGCCCAGCGGCTCCCTTCGGCGGGCGACACCTGCAGCGGCGCCGAGGCTCCCGGGTCAGCAGCGGCGCCTGCGAGGCCGGCGGCTCCGGAGCAGAAGACGCGGCGCGGCCGGGGAGAGCGGTGGCCTCGACCGGCGGGGCTGGCGGAGGTCTCCGCGGGGGGCGCCGGGAAGGATAGTCCGGGAGACCACAAGCCCCAGCATGCCGCGCGCGAGGAGCCGAGGATGCCCCCCCCCCCCCCCCCCGCCTCACCCGCGGAGCGGAACCAGCGAGCCGCTTCGGAGCCCGGCAGAGCGGGGCGGGGCCTCGGGGTGGAAGGGATCAATCCACGTTCAGGAAACGCCGCCTGCGTGCCGGGATGGCTCCCCCCCCTCCGGGGCCGAGACGCGTGTCGGCATGGTTGTCTGAACCCGTCGGGGCTGGCGCGACTAGTCAGGCGCCCCGCGATGCCGGCGCCCCCGGTGCGAGGGAAGGCGAGTGGCACGGCAGAGGCGCTGTGGGTCCGGGCTGGAAGGCCGAGCCCATCCCCGCCGCCGCAGCCGGGCCTCGGGGAGAGGGCGTGGGGGTGGCGCCAGGGCCAGCCTGGCTCCGGGGCCCCTGGCGGCGGCTCCCGGCCCGCCCGCCTCCGCCGCCCCCCCCCCCCCCCCCCCCGCGCCGCGTTCCGGGTCTCCTAGCAACCGGGAGAAACTTTCCCGCGAGCAGAACGCCGCCGCCGCCCGCCGCTGATGCCGGATCCCGGCCCGGGGCCGCCTGCCAGCCGCGAGTCTCCCCAGGGCAGCGGGACTATGAGCCACAGCCTCTCCTTCGTGGAGCTGATCAACCTGGCCATCGGGACGCCGGAGCTGGGCAATGTCAACTTCAATGCGCTGCACCTGTTCCTGCACAGCCTGGTGGAGCATCTGCGCCTGCAGGAGGCGAGGAAGGAGGTGTCGGTGGAGGAGCTGGCGTTCATCAAGCCGCCCCCCAGCTCCGCGGCCTCCGCTGCCACCTCAGCCACCGAGACCCTCCCCGCGGTGCAGAACTCCAGCTCCATCTTCCACCAGATGCACGAGAGGATCACTGCCATCGAGAGGCAGCTCCGGTTCCTGAATGAGCCCCCTGACACCGCCGAGCTGCTGGCCCGCAGCCAGGGCATGGGCCAGCCCGCCCTGGACATGTGGCAGATGATGCAGCTGAAGAAGAAGCTGGAGCTGAATGAGGAGGGCATGACCAAGGTAGCCCCACGTGGCCTTGCCCTTTGCAAGCAGGTGGCAAGGGCCCCAAACCACACCGCACCTCCAGGCTTCCAGTCAACGCCTCAGCTGGCCATCCTCGCCTAGAGTTCTCCAAGACCTCTGCTGCCCATCGGGCAAAGAGGCTCACAACTAGAGAATCCCTTGCTGGGTGGCTTTGAGCAACCAGCCGTGGGGAACATGCCCCGTGCCTTCCTCCCTTTTCTGCGACTCACGCGCTGTCTCCCCAGCGCCTCACTATCATTTCTGCCATCTTTCTGCTAAATTCCTAATTCCCCACCTTCCTCCTGGTCAAGGAGCTGTGGGCTGTTCAGGCATCATGAAAGGATCCCAGGTTCCTTATCTACTGGTGGGGCTGTGGAGCCACGGAGGTTCTGAGAGTGAAGGCGTGGCTATCTCCCGCCCCGCCCTTTCCCTAGACTGCAACAACTGTATGGACGGCCTCCAAATGGTGCCGAGTCTCCGTGACGCCTCCTGTTTCCCCATTCAGGCCATGAACACGTTGCAGGACCTGCTGAATAGCATTTGTTCTCTGAAAATCGCCACGGAGGGCTTTCAGCAAGAACTGGCGCAGCTGAAAGAAGACGTTGCCCAGGTGAGTGCTCCTGAGGGAGAAAGACTCCTGGCTTGGGTCCAGAAAGGTGCTTCTTCTCCGTGGACAGAAAAGAAAGCCTCCTCGCCCAGCTGCAGCTCTGATCCTGGTTTTGCTATTACCAGATCAACGCAGAAGAAATGAAAAAGCGGCTGAAGTGCCTGGACAAACAAGCCAGGATGATGGAAGAAATGAAGGAGCAACTGGTGAGAGGATCCCCAACCCTCGGGCCCTTGCCACTCCCTTGGCACCCCCCAGCCCCATTAATCCAATACCCTGCCTCTCTTGCCTCTCCCTTTGCCCCTTGCAGCCTCCCCTGTTGAACCTGCTGGCAGAGGGAGCGGGGCAAGGCCTTCAGGTGGGCAGGCAGAGACTCAGGGAGTGCAGAAATGGGAGTGAGACAATATGGGTGGAACTTCAAGGACAGCACCCCACCCCACCCCCACCCCCACCTGGGCCTCAAAACCATTTAGGCCATTACTGTACGCTTCAAGAATTACAGAGTGGCACTTCCATAAGGGGCACCCGAAACTTTAATTAGAAAAAATACACCACCTCTTTAATGTATAGGGCTTTCTGTCCAGTTTTGAGCACCATTCTCCCCTCCTTAGTGCTTGCCCTTTCTCCCATCTCACTCCTTGGGCAGATGGGCTTTGCAGACAGACAGGCCCTGGGAGGCTCCAGTGTTGGTCCTGCTTGTCCTCCTCTCAGCCCCTGTTTAAGCCTCTGCTGCTTCTGAAAGCAAACGTTTGCCTCAGCTGCCCCCTCTCCAACGGGCTGAACCTTCTCTTCCCCTCTGTGGCCACAGGGGCTCGTGAAAGAAAGGGTCAGCCTGTCTGCCAGTGCCTCGGATGTGGTGTGCTGGAGTGCCCTTTGCGAGACGCTCACCGGCAAAGTGAGTATGGCTGAATTGCATCCTCACCCTGAAGGCCAACCTGGCACCTCTCTGTGCCTGCCTAGTTCTCTTGGCATAATGGGAGCAAGCCTGCCAACACACAGGTGAGTCAATTCCCATCCTTGGACAAATTGGATCCTCTTGACTCACCTGGGAAGGCAAAGGGCAGCAAGAATGGGGTGGGTCTGGAGGCCAGGACCTCCCTTGCTTGGGTGAGGAAGGGGGCAGGGGGCAGTCCCTGCAGCCAGCTTCTCCCTGCCATGCTGATGCCCTATGGCTGACCAGCAGAAGTGCCCCTTTTGGAGGAGACTACTGCCTTGAAAGGCACAGCTACACTCCTGCCCTGCTCTGGCATTTCAGACCTTCGAGGAAGAGGAAGTGGGCAAAGAGGAAGAGGAAGGGAGCAGAGAAAAAGAGGAAAGGAGCATAGAGAAAGAGAAACGGAGCAGAGAGAAAGAGAAACGGAGCAGAAAAGAAGAGGAAAGGAGCAGAGAGGAAGAGGAAAGGAGCAGAGAGGAAGAGAAACGGAGCAGAGAGGAAGAGAAACGGAGCAGAGAGGAAGAGGAAAGGAGCAGAGAGAAAGAGGAACGGAGCAGAGAGGAAGAGGACAGGGGCAGAGAGAAGACATCTCGGGAGATCCTGGCTGTTCTGAGCCAACTGCCGGAGAAGCACGATGCTCTCCTGAAGCACATCACTCAGCTGGAGGCCCAGTTGAAGTACCCAGCATGCCCTGCAGGTGAGGCTGAGAAGGGGATAGCACCCCGGGTGGGCCCAGCTGCTGCTCCCTGGGGGGGAATTGGGATGATGTCCCACTGGGGGCGCTGTCTCCTGGCCCTCAAAATGAAGCCCTCTACCTGCCTTGAGGTGGGCTCTGGCTCCTGCTTAACATAGCTTGGGGGCTCCAGCCTCAACCCCACCCCCCAGGCTGGTTAAGTCTGAGCAATCTGGCACAAGTTCTTTGTTTTCCCCCTCCCCCCTGCCCCATTTCTAGCTTTTGAAATGCCCCCCGAGCTGAAGTCACTGCTGGAACGGATGGAGACATTGCAAACTCAAAGCCAACAGGTGCCCTGGGAACCTGGGCAGGGGATGGACATGCCCCCCCCCCATGAATTTTTTTCCACAAAAGTGCAAAGGAGAGGGAGGGAGGGAGGGAGGGAGGGAGGGAGAGTGTTCATCCATGGGGGGAGGGTCACAGGAGTTGCAGGACAATAGAAATTTAGGGACAAATTGCTAAGGGGGCAAATCTCACCCTATGGTCTGGACATGCTCAACAGCTGACATCCAAGATGGCAGTCCAGTGGGGAAGAGGTTCTGGGTGGAATCCCCTTTGCCCTGGGCAACAGACAGAGCCCAAAGTACTTCCAGGATCCTGCCCGTTGGAGGCGTTGAGACTCCGCCTGCAAAGGCTTGGCAGCCTTTTGGGGGATGCAAGAAAAGCCCATTGCAAAACAGGTCTGGGTTTGCTCAGGCTCCTCAGTGAAGGTGCTGGTCACAGCAGTGGCTCGACTCGGGCCAAAGTTGCTGGCCACACCAGATGGAGTTGCTGGCTTCTTCTTCAGGGAAAGGAATCTCTGCAAGAGACCCTGGAGCAGATGGAGAAGCTGAGGGAACAGTATGAAAACCTGCAGCAGGGAGTGGAGAAGTTATCCAGGAGCAGCACAGAGATGCAGGTAAGGGGCTGTATGGCCACTCAGTGACCGGCCAGAGGGTCTGGTCACAGCTTGTGGCTGGCGGAGAAGCAGGGAAGCAGCCCAGGCAGTTTGAGCAGGAGGAAAAAATGGAGAGTCTGCAGCAGAGTTTTACTCCCTCTACAGATCATACGCAACCTGTTGCATCAGTTGGATGTCAAGAAAGCCGATAAAGACTCGATCCAAGAGGAGATGAATGTGGTGAGTCCCTGGGAATGGGAGGAGACGATCTTTCCCACACCCCAACTAAGTCTCTGGTGTGGAAAAGGAAGTGGGTTAGATGAAGCTTCCAGTTGCTTCTTCCCAACCTGAAGTCATCCTGGAGAAATCCCAGGGGTTTCGGCATGGCTGCTCCAGTATCACCAGTGATTAAGTGAAGTCCCATCACTATCCATGTAAAGGAGATGCCTTTCTGAAGGAAAGATGCCACTTTTTCCAGTTGGAGGCAGTCGCGGGGCTTCTGTGCCTTTAAGGGGAGGACATTCAACTGGTCTAGTTTCCTTTGGGGCCTGCATACGCCAAGCAGCAACTCAGGCAGTTGTTTCACTGCCTCGCCTCCAGTCCTTAAAGCCACAGGAGCCCTTCTGGAAGCACTTTCTCTCCCCTCCTCACCTGGCTGTCAGGAAATCTGGCTCCTCTCTTTCTCTCTCTCTCTCTCTCTCTTTCTGCCTGGTGTTCTCCCCTGCCACTGCCCCCTGTCATCTCCTGGACTTCAGGGAGGACTTGCTTTGTCTTCCCCCAGAAAGCTGACAAGAGCGCGCTGGAGGCCATGGTGAACCATGGGCAGCTGCAGCTGGCCACCAGCCAACTCAGCGAGATGATGCAGGACCTGCTGCAAAAGATGTCCCTGCAGGACAAGGACTGGCAGAAGGCGCTCGAGAAGCTCTTTGTGGACATGGACTGCAAGGTGACTCCTCCCTGCCCAGAACTCCCCCAGGGGACCATGGCTGCCACAGAGCAAGAGGGCCCACTCAGCCACCCTTGCTGCCCCACAGCTGGACCGCTTGGCCCTGGACCCCGTGAGCCGACAGCTGGAGGAGGTGTGGAAGTTCATCAAGAAGTACCTGAGTGAGGGACCCCGCTTTGACGCCGACAGCGCAGCTGGCTTCAAGAAGTGAGGAGGGGACGGCAGAGGCCAGCTGGAGGGGGGGGTTTGCATAGCCTGCCAGAGGCACCCCCTCTTTTGGGCCGTGATAGAGGGAGGCTGGCGGAGCGGGAAGTGCAGCCAGCCCTGGCACAACAGCCCTCCGTTTGTGCCTTGCAGGCAGCTCTTTGAGAGAGTGAAGTGCATCTCCTGTGACCGGCCAGTGACCATGATGACCGGGCCGTAAGTATCCCTGGTGCCTTTCTGGGTTGGGCAGCAGATGGAGGAGGAGGAGGAGGAGGAGCAGCTGCATTGGCCCCTGCTTCTTCACAGGCACATGATCACTGTCCGGAAGGCCACATTGAAGCCTCGTCCAGTCAGTGCCAGTGGCTACGAATACCTCTTCCACCAGCAGAAAAGGTCAGCGACTCGGCTGGGGGGGGGGGGGGGGGGCTTCCTGGGCCAGCTGGGAGAGAGCTCTGGGAGCAGCCCAGAGGAAGCGCCTCCCTGCTGGATAGGAGGCTTTGCATTCCCGGCCATCAACCCCC